TCTTGAGGGCTCTTGTTGCTTTTTTCCCTCCCATGAGGAATTACTTATCAGCTACTGTTTCATAATTGATCAGCAATTATTCTTGCCACTTTTATCGCGGGAGCTGTCCTTAAGGAGGTAAGTGTTGCAGATGGTAGATATAATGCCCATTTCTCCCTAATTCATAATTTAAGGAACAGGAGAACGCTAGGACATTACGAAAAGAGTACATGGAGAGGAAAGAGAAAATATCTGAGGAAATGGCGCAGTAGGACCCTTTTCAAATCACTTTCTTCGTTTACCCCTTAACGAGACTATTATTATTTTCAGATTCAATGAGCTTTATCAGCAGGGAGTATCAAGTGCCCAAATAGAGTCCTACTGCAGAAAGATGTCCCAGTTTGTTACAAACAAAACTATGATACATTTTTATTCGATTTGCACACTTGTTTTGTTTAAATAGTTGTAATAATAACAACAACAATACTAATAATTCTAATAAATAGCTAAAATATATAGCAACCTTTTTACCCACTTTACCGAAAAATTTTCAATGAATTCGTGCCGATTTGGATAGCTTAATAACTTCTCCTCTTACCGAGGCCAACCGCAGTTAGCGCGACGTGCCGGCTTAATGAGGTCGCTTCGCACCTCGTTAATTATGCCTCGAACCATAGGTGCGACAAGTCATTAATAAAGGTTCAATCGTACCATTTTCCTCCTACCCCTCCTGTCTTGTGTGTGTCCCTTCAGGGGTTTTTCACAAGTAAGTCTTTCATAAGTCTTTCATACTTTCATAAGTCGTAGTTCTTTCATAAGTCTTTCATCATTCGAGCTCAACGATCTGAGTATCGCTGCACCCTTCACTTCAGAAAGGGCCCTGCGCTCACGACCCCCCCCCTCTCCTCGAGGTCAAATACGACCCTCCTTGTGATCATCACAACGATGGCGTGCCCTGCGATGAGCACAAACAGCACAGAGGTGTCAACGCTAAGTTTGATGGAGCGGACGGAAGCTGCAGAGGACCCGGATGTAAGGAAGAATTCAAAATATCAAAACAATTGATAAGCAATATGAACAGCTCCAGCATGAACTTGTAAAAACATAAATAACGAAATAATACATTTCGAATAGATTCGTATGTATGGACCTTTCCACACCCTAAACCAACATCGGCACTGTTCAACTATTACTACCCAATTTTCACAGGCCCGATTTTGACCTGCTTTCTTCTGACTGGGCAGATTCGGCTGAAAATTCGGTTCTCGGAAAGTTCGACCTCCTGATCTGAATATCACATCCGATTGGCCTGATGCTGCCTGGCGCTGGGCCAAGTGGATGTGACCTGGCGCCAGGCAGCCAAAAACTCTAAGTCACCAAATTCGCTGAACTTGCCCCCAGGCATAGTTTGACCTTCTGTGAATTAGTATCATATTCGCTCGGGCCGGAAGTGCTTGGCGCCCACGTCACAGGGGCCGGCGCCAAAATACCCTAGGTCACCAAATCCGCTGAAAACTTGTATACGGAGGTTATTTGACATCTTGATTACAAATATCACATTCATTTTTGGCGCTGGCGCTGATGGAAGACACTACGATCATCTGCGCTCTGCTAAGGCTGAGCCTGGCCTGGAAGGGAATCACTCCTTTCCCCAGGCTCAGCCTTAGAAGAGCGCTAAATGGCGCTGGTGTCGAAAAATAAATGTCCTATTCGTGATCAGGGCATCAAACAACCCTATTATGCAGGTTTTTATCGATTTTGATGAAGAAGGGTGTGGCGCCAATCAGCGCCTAATGGCGCCAAGTTGGCGCCTATTGGCGCCGCCATCGTCGAAAACGAATGTGATACTCGTGATTATGACGTCGAATTACCCTTATAGACGAAGCTACCAAAAAAATTTTTTTG